ATTTTCTGGATTCCAGAAATGTCTCTCCTAAAATAAGCATGTAGAATTATCTTAAGAGAATGTGAATCATGCCCATGTCCATATGGTGCAGTTAACACACTTCTAAAGACAAAACACTGAGGAATAAAACCAACAGCAAGCAGCTCTGACACTTGCTGGGATGGAGTGTGGACTGCCGGCCCCAGGCGCCCCTTCCTCTGCACCCGCCCCAGGTCCTCACCCGCCTCGGGACCGTCGCTCTCTACTCCCAGGGGTTTCATGTTCCCTCCCGCTCAGCCACCTGGCACGGCCGCCCCGCGCTCCCCTCACCCCCTGCCCTCCAGGGTGCCACAAGGCACACAGGGTTGAGAGCTGGGGCGTTTGCCGGGCGTGGTGATGAAGTAGCCTGGGGACAGAGTCCCAGGAGAGCGGGGAAGAAACATTGCTCATGTGGCCTTGCCATGTTCAGCCAGAGCTCACAGAGTAGGGCCCAGGCAGGCAGCATGCACTGGGACATCCAGGTCCATCTCTCCAGGGAGGAAAGAGATGAGGGGTAGGAGGTGGCAGTGTCACCTGGCCGGTGACTTTGCTCCCCCCTCCACAGCCACCTGGGCCCTGGAGTTTCCCGCCTCCACCCTCAGGCAGTGGCCTTCCCTCCTCTGCACAGAGGAGCCCCCAGCCGCCAGCTTGGCCTCCCCCCACTGACTGGCAAGGCACTGTCCTCAGGATTAAAGAGACGAAAAGCCCACCGCATCAGAGAGGACAGATAAAACTGCCAGTTTATGGAAAGGGACGCTGTGGCCCCAGGACCTTACAGCAGACTCAGCCCCAGTCTAAGCCATTAACTGTATGAGAATCACATGAGTTGACAGCAATCACAGATGTATGTTCTTATTGGTTTCACCGTGCAGAAACTGAGGCCCAGAGAGGTTAACCAACCTGCACAAGGTTGCACAGCTAGTAAGCTATGGACCTGCATTCAAAGCCAAAGAGTCTACACCTTGGAACCACTGTTGTCAGTCGACATGTGAGTAGATGCTCAGCTTCACTCAGTGCAAACTGAAGGCATGCTGACGTCTGTCTTAGATCTTGCAGGCTGGCAACAATTTAAAAAAGTTCATAGCACTGCTGGCAAGGGCACCCTGCGACCCAGCCATTCGGCAGCACCCATCAACATTCCTGGGCGCGTGGGAATCCTTCCTAGGGGTTTATCTGAAGGCTGGCACACGTGCAAGACAACTGGGTAAAAGCTGTTAAGATGCCTGGAAGAACAAAAGATTTGAAACCATCTCAAGTCTAGCCAAAGAGTCTGGCCACATGCACTGACAAATAAGTGCCAGAAATACTTCCAGTGTGGGGCTTCGGGCTGGGGACTGGAAGGGCAGTGAAGGTGATTTCCTTTTCACTGACCACTTTTTTGCACCCTTTGATTTTGATGCCAAGCGTATGTCCTGACTTTGAACTCACACGCAGAGCACATGCAGTCACAGGTGTGGAAAGGCCTGGAAGGATTCACATCAAGGGCAACAGCACAGGTGTGATTTGCCTTTGGCAGGACCAGCTTCCCTCTCCACACATACCCACTTCCTCCCTACTTGAATGTGTCTCCTGCACCTTTCAGGAACTGCAGCCTTGGTGGGTCACTGGGACAGTCGCTACCGACACGGCCCTGAGACAAAGCTCCCGGCCTTCTGCAGACCCCGCGCAGCTCCAGCTCTCTGGGGAACCCCAGGGGTCCTGCTCCTACATCGCCCAGTGGCCCGGGCGCCTCAGCCTTCCAGGCCCCTGTGTCCTCCCTGCTGTGCTGAGTCCTGCCTCCGCGCTTCCCAGCAGGTATGATGCTGGGAGACTGTGCACTGAGCCTTTCTTTTGGAAGAACCTGCAATACATTTGTTTATTTCTACCGCTAGTAACAAAGTTTCCCAGCCACAGCCTCAGACACATCCTAGCAGAGGAGCCTTACTTCCTTGCTAAAAGGAAAGGGGAAGATGTAGGAACTACAGGCTGAAAGGACGGGCACTAGATCTAGAAGGCGGGGTGAAGCAGAAGAAAACAGGTGGGGAATCCAAACTACTTCGTTTAATTCCACGCTAAATAAAACCTAACCAGACACTAAGCCCTGTCTTGGGGCAAGGGGAAAATCAGAGACATGACGAGGAATCAGAAGGGGGCCCTGGGGAGACAGGTGGCACCAGGAGGGAGCGAGCAGGTAGCAGGTGGCAGGAGAAATGCCGTCACTGGGACAAAGCTGGGAGTCTGACTTGTTTGACTTGCTCTGAGAGGCTTCCTAAGGTTGGATTCAAAATGTGCCATAGATTTTTTGGCTCTGGGAACTCAAGCCAAGCTCTGCTACCTTCTCTGTAAAATGGAGTGACCTATGATTTACAGGGCAGTCCAGAGAGTCACGTGAGATGTTAAGGAAGGTGGATTGCAGTTTAAATGTCTGACAAGTGCCTCACGACAGTAGCATCCTGTCATTGTCACAGTAAGGCAGAGGGTCAAGCACGCTCGGCACCTCACTAAGCCCACTGGGAACCCTGGCCCCAAAGCCCTGCAGGCGCAGAAGTCCTGCTGAATAAAGGGTTGGTGCCAGCGGGCTCTTAACCCCTTCCTGGGGTGTGGCCAACAGTGAGTTAGCCCCAGGATTTCCATTTTAATATCACAGTTGACAGGTTTTTCAGTCCTTAGAGTCTCTAATATAAGAGGAATGTCACTTGGCTGGTGGAATTGATTTCCTCCTCTTAACCTCTTTCCTGAACCCACTCACACTGCCCTCTCCAGAACCCTTTGGCCTCTATGTCCTGGCTCTTCAGAACTTTCTCCAATCTCCACTCGACCTCCTGCCTTGTCAAAATTCCCATTCCGCAGAGCAGCGGCCCCCAACCTTGTTGGCACCAAGGACTGGTTTCACGGAAGACGACTGTTCTACAGACTGGGGTGGGGTGGCGCGGCATGGTTTAGGGACGATCCAAGCACATTACATTATTGTGCAGACCTCTCTGCTAGCGACAATCTATTTGCAGCTGCTCTGCAGCGCTGGCAGCACCGCCTCAGACCACCAAGGCATCAGGCTCTTACAAGGAGCCATCACACGCGCAGTTTGCAACAGGATTCTGGCTGCTATGAAAACCTAATGCCACTGCCGGTCTGACAGGAGGCGGAGCTTATGTGCTGACGTGAGCAACGAGGAGCGGCTGTAAACACAGATGAAGTTCTGCTTGCTCTCCCGCCGCTCACCTCCTCTGTGCGCCCGCTTCCTAACAGGCCACGGACCAGTATTGGTCTGAGGGTTGGGGACCACAGCCCTAGAGGTTTCACTGAGTATGAGACCTAACTACTTAAAAGTTGATTTTTTTTTTTACAACCTTGTCCCCTCAAAAATTGATTCTAAATCAAATGAGTCTCTAATGAAGAGTGTCAGAACAGTTTGAAAGCAGAACTTCATTGCCTCTTCATATTGCAAACGGTCTTCTGTTTATGGGTCCCCAGGGAGAAACACACATCAACACTGCAGAAGTGGCCCCTTGGCACAGGTGCTTGTGCAACTTCGTGAAGACAGGCAGGGACCAAAGCACAGATGTTATGAGAGCACTGTGTCACATAAAGAAACAGCTTTACCGATCGCAGCACTTTGAAATGGAAAGGCTTAACGCCTGGAGTTCAGAGAATGGACCCAAGTCAAGCACACCACAGCAATGCAGGATGGGAGCAGGGAAACTGGGTCTGGGGTATACTGGGACTGTCTGTGCCACCTCTGCAACTTTTATGTAAAGCTGAAGTCATTCCAAAATAAGTTTACTTTAAAAACAGAAAGACTATTGTTCAGCTTGGTCATTAAGATCATTTCTTTTCAAGTGGCCCATATGGGCCAGACCCTGTGCCATGGCACCTGTGGGAAGACAGGATTTTGCCCTGGTCCTGGCCCTAGTCCTAGTTTCCACAAGTAGAAGACATTCTACACCATGGGGTGCAAAGGGAAGGGGCACAAAGGTCTAGGAGCTCCTCAGCAACAGCATTCCTCAAACATGCCACCACTGTCCCCCAAGAGCCCACCATGGGGGCGGGGAAACTGGTGCATGACTGTGAGACTCAAAGATGCCAGATGAAGCCCAGCTGCCGGCACAGGGCAGAGGCTCAACAAACATCTGTGACAGGGGAAGCACCTGGGGAGGTTCTCCGGGGTGCTAAGCCTAGCCTTGAGACCTGGGTAAGTCAGGGCTGGTGGGTGGAAAGAGTAACACTCTTAGCAAAGGAAGGAGCACGTTAAGGTGGATACATTTTATTTGGTTTTCTTTACTATTGTTCACTTGAGATGGGTCTCTGGCTGTGTTGCCCAGGCTGGTCTTGAACTCCTGGGCTCAAGTGATCCTCCTGGCTTAGCCTCTGGAGTAGCTGGGACTACACTGCCGCTGGCTAGGTGGATGTGTGTTAGACAGAGGAAGAAGAAAGGCAACTGAACAGGAAAAGGTTGGGTGGGTATAATGATGTCTTCCGTTCCATTACCTAAAACAGAATCTCAGCCTTCTTTGCATCCTAGAACTCAGCACATGATTTGGACACTGAAGATGTCAACCGGAGGTAAGCACGGGGAGGGAGGACCCCACTTCGTAGGTCCCAGGCTCAGACTTTTGCAATCTCCGTTAATAAAGCCACAAGTGGCAAAATCTGAGGACGATGCATTTTGGCCGTCTTTATGTGAGCAACTCAAAACGTCCCTCCTTTTTAATGAACCTCCCTAGCAGACCTCCTTTGTCCGCATCCGCTCCCCGCTGCGAGCCTGTCTGCTGGGGGAGCCAGCGACGGGCCGTGGGCTCCTCTGCCACCTCCCGGCGGGGCGGGCGGGCGGCGAGGGGACCGGTGCGCTCCGCGACGGAGCGAGCCCCACACCCACGACTCCAGGGTCAGCACGGCCGCCCGCCCCGCCGCCCGGAGCCCGGCAGGTGCCCGCGGGCCCGCCCGGCGCGGCCCGGCCGCCACAAAGTAGCCGCCCGCGCAACTGTGTCGCGCCCGCCCGTACTCACGGCCGCCCGGCGGTCCGCGCCCCGGCCCGCAGCGCCCATCCGGCCGGGCCCCGGTCGCGCGGGCTCGGCTCTCAGGCGGCCCCGGCGCGGCCCGCGACGCGCTGCGGCCGTTGGCGCCTCGGCAGGGCGCGGGGCATCCTCCCGCCGCCGCCCCGCGGGCCGCCTGCCCTTTGTTTTGGAGCCGCAGCCCGGCCCCGCCGCCGTTAACGGCCTCGGAACGCGGCGCCAGCCAATCACCGCGCCGCGCGCTCCGCCCCTCGCCCCGCCCCGCCCCGCCCCGCCCGCGCGCCCCCGCCCCGCGCGCTCCGGCAACGGAGCTCAGCAGGCACGCACCCAGCCGGGCGGGGCGGGGCCGCACGTGCCGCGGAGCGCGCCGCGCCCCTATTGGCTGGCCCGCCGGGGCGGCCTCGGAGCCAGCCTGTAAGGGCCGAGATGCGCGGGGGCGGGGCCGCGCGGGGCGGGGCCGGGCGCCGGGCGGGCTTGCCCAGGAGCGCAGTGCGCAGGCGCCGGCTGGTCCGGCGAGGGTGCTCGGCCCGCGGGGTCTGCGGCGGCGGGGGACGCGCAGCTCGGGAAGCCCGCGGGTCGCACGCCGGGCCCGGCACGCGTGCACGGGCTGAGGGCGCGCCGGGGCGCGCGTGTCCGGCCGAGGCGGCGCTGGAGGGCGGCGCGGGTGCCCGGCGCGGGCTCGGCCCCAGTGCGGGTCCTCCGCGCTCTCGCCCGACCCCCGTCTCCGGACCCCGACCCGCCGCCGCTCTGCGCCGGGGCCTCCAGGTCGCCCAGCGGCCTGCGGGTCCGAGACAGCCCGGCCTCCGGCGTGCGCTCCTCGTCCCCGCCCCTGCGGCGTCCCCAGTGTCGTCACGTGCTGGGTCCCACGTCCGTTCTCCATAGACGGGCATTAATCGCACAGGTTTCAAAGAGCACAGTGTGGCCTTGACGTTCGCAACGTCGCTGCTCGCGTTGCGGCCTCCTGGCCGTGTGGTCCCTTCCGCACCCGCGCTCTGCTGCGGCCTGGACGCCGCTGGGGCGCCTGCCTCGGCGCTGGCTCGCGCTGGGTCGCCTCGCACGTGTTCTCAGCCGCCCTTCCTAGACGCCTCCCACTCCCTGCCTCCACAGACAGCTGGCTGCAAAGTGGGATGTCACGATCTTTTTCTTTTCTTTCTTTCATTTATTTATACTTTTTATTTGTTTTTTAGAGACAGCGTCTCGCTCTGTTGCCCAGGTTAGAGTGCAGTGGGGTTCCAGCACACTGCAACCTCCAACTCCTGGGCTCAAGCAATCCTCAGCCTCCTGAGTAGCTGGCGCTACAGGCACGTGCCACCATGCCTGGCTAATTTTTCTATTTTGTGTAGAGACAAGGTCTCACTATGTTGCTCAGGCTGGTCTTGAACTCCTGGGCTCAAGGATCCTCCCACCAGGGCCTCTCAGAGTGATAGGATTATAGGTGTAACCACCCACTCATTCCAGAATTCTTTCTCATCTGCAAAACTGAAACTCTGTATCCATTAGACAGCAACTCCTGGTTCCTCTCACCCTTACCCCCTGGCAACCAGCATTCTACATCTTGTCTCTATGAAGTCGAGTACTCTAGGAACCTTACGTGGAATCATACAATATTTGCGTTTTTGTGACTTACTGTGACTTTTGTGGCTTATTTCACTGAGCACAATGTCCTAGAGGTTCTTCCATGTTGCAGCATGTGTCAGAATTTCCTTTCTTTTGAAGGCTGAAAAATACTTCATTGTATGTAGACATCACATTTTGTTTCTCTATCCATCCTACAATGGACACCTGAGTTGCTACTTGTATGTTTTAGCTGTTGTGAATAATGCTACTGTGACAATGGGTGTACAAATACCTCTTTGAGACTTTGCTTTCAATTCTTTTGGGTCTATACCCAGAAGTCAACTTGCTGGGAGCATATGGTAATTCTAGGTTTAATTTTAAAAGCAAACTGCATATTGCTTTCCAAAGTGGTCTTACATTCTCACCAACAGTGCATAAGGGGTCCAATTTCTTCACATCCTCGCCAACACTTGTTATTTTCTGTTTTTAACAGTGGCAATCCTGATGAATGTGAGGCTGTGACTCATGGTGGTTTTGATTTGCCATTTCCTGCCTAGTTATTAGTGATGCTGAGCATCTGTTCGTGTGCTTATTGGCTCCAAGTGTTTTTAACGATGACCTATGTTTCTCATTACATCATATGTGTACCACATTTCTGTTTGTGGTGATACAAAATTTTGGAAATTGGTAGTGGGGATGGTTGCATAACAATGTAAATGTACTTAAATCCCACTAAATGACACACTTCAAGTTGTTAAAATAACCCTTATGTTTTGTATATTTTACCATAATTAAAAACAGTTTAAAAAGTTTACACTGTGATCCACTATATATAATATATATATATATATATATATGAAAGATGATTTCATGATTTAACACAAACTCTGATTCTGTGCAATGCCCTAAATTTTCTATCCTTTTCTGTTTTATTTTTATTAATAAAATCCTGGGCATTGCCTGAAAAGTTATCTCACACACTGCTGTGGGCCAGACCTGCAGTCTGCCACCCATTGCACACTGCCCATGGCCCTGGTTTCTGGCAGCCCACTGTGGGACACCACCTCCGAGCTCCAGGCTCACTCCCGGTAGCATCCCGACTCCACCCAGCAGCGTGCCCAGCCCTGGGGCTGCACTCCTGTGCTCCCTTCCTCTCTTGCCCACACCACACACTTGCCCTGCAGAAGCCCTCCTGGAGAAAAGCTCTCCCACCACTAGGAGCGGCACCAGTGCAGCTGCTGCTTAACTTGGGGATGCCAATTTCCAGGAGAGTTTTGTTCTCCAGGCAACCCTCCACCCGCTCCACCTCCCAAGCGCATTCTGGTTTCCACCATCCTGGAAGATGATTTTCCACCTCTTCCCCCTCTGCTAACATGGTGTCCAACTTTACCAAGAACACAGACCCCCGGAGGGAATCCCCCCATACCACCACTAAACCTATCACCAGCTGCCTCCCTGTCCTGCCTGGTACCAGCAACAAGGGGGGCTTGATACCCTTCATCCTGCGCTCCCTTCCTGGCTGTCCCATCAGGACAGTAGGCGCTGCGTGCTCCTTTGGCAATGTCCTGGTAACTCTTTAGGGCAAGATTACTCAGGGGGCCCCGCCTGGGCTCCTGCCATCCTTACCTGCCATTCTTCGGTTTCTGTGACAACCACCTAACTCTACCATGCCAAACTCTCACATCTGGGCTCAGCCCACATCTTACTGATGGTTCAACCAGCATTTCATACAGCTGGTCGCTCCCTTTAAACTCTTTCTTCACTTTGATTCTGGGGCTCCACTCTCTCCTCCTTACTGGCCATGCCTTCTCCATCTCTCCCCATCCTCCTGATGTTGGAGGCCCCAAGGGCTCAGTTCTTAGGTCTCCTCCCTTCCCCTCCCCCTCCTGATAGGTGATCTGTCTCTGCCAAGCTCATGGGTTGCAGAAGACCACGTGGAGCCTGGCACCCACCAAGTGTGTAACTCAGCACAACCCTCCCCCCACACCCCTGCCAAACTCCAGGCATATTCATCCAATTGCCCACTCCAAATGTCATCTGAGAGCCATGAGACACTTCAAACTCAGCACATTCCACACCAAGCCTTGGTCTCCACCATCTCGGTAAGGGGCACCGCCATCCTTATGGCACAGGCTAGAGCCCCAAAGTCTTCCTCCACCCCCTCGCCCCTCACACCCCACCCTGAGCCCTCGCCAAGCCTGCCACCAGCACCCAGGCCTAAGCCACTCCCACCTCTTGTCTGTCGGAGATGCAAACTTTGCCTCCTTAACTCTGTTCCTCACAGATTGATGCTTTTAGAAGATAAGCCAGAGCTATACCTCCTCAAAAGCCTCCAGGCACAAACTTCTGGAGTAAAAGCCAGACTTCTTCCAATGGGCTCGGATGATTTGGTCCCCACCCGCCATCTCCTCTTACTGTCCTGGCAAGAGTTTGGCCAGCTATGAAGTTTAGCAAGAACAGTGCACGCAAGGTCGCCCTCACTTCTGACCCCAACTGCAAGCTTGGGGGCCCCCAAGACCACCCTTAGATGTGGAAGTTTCCTCGAAGAACTTGACGAAAGCTGTTAGAGATTATTCCAGGGAGAAGAGCACCCAGTCTGCTCCCTGGGCGTCCCGTACAGCGCTGCCCCAGTGGGGCCTCGACGCTCAGAGCTCTTATCGTGCTCGTCACACGGGCAGGACTGAAGGGCTCCTGGGGGCACCCCGTCTCCAGGACGCCCACTCTGAGTCCCGCCGTTGACCCTCCGGTGAGGCCAGCCCCACCCTAAATTTACATACTATCTGCTGTGGCTGTCCCCACCTTAAATCATGTGGCTTGCCTACCCTCAATGAATGACCTGAGGCCACCAGGTAGGCACAGACTCTTGCCGGGCCTTCTCCCAGGGCGAGGTGGGCCCTTCCTGCGGCAGGGCCCCGCGCTCTCCTGACGCCGCGTCCGCCCGCCCTCGCCCTCGGTGGGGCTCCGCCCTGGGCGCTGCCGGCGCGTCCTTGCCAGAGGCGCCCTCTCCCCGCACCGGGCCGGCGCCCCAGCCTCCACACTCTTTCCTCACCCTGTTTTGTTTTCCTCAGCACTCGGCCCTGCCCACTGGTCGGTCTCCGCGCCAGGACGCGCGCCCTGAGCGCGGGGACGCGGCGGTGCCCGGCTGAGCCCAGCGCAGAAGACTCCGGCGGGACACCGAGGGCTGGGTGAGACCCGAGGCCGGCTCCTTGGGGCTCGAGGACCGCTCGTGTCTGTCCCGATGCGCAGCTCTTTCCTCACAGGAAGCGCCATGCAGGCTTTTCTAAGGAAAAGGCACGGAGGAGACAAAGACAGACTTGGCCTCAGAGCTGCGCCGCGTGTTCCGCGGTCACGAGACAGCCCAGCGCCGCGGCCCGGCTCCAGGCGCACGTGGCGAGTGGGCCCGGCCGTGTACTTCAGAAGTGGAGAATCTGGGATCTATGAAATTGCGACAGGCTCGGTGCCCACCGGAGGTTTTCCAGCTGCACAGGACAGCAGCGGGCGTTGACGGGGTGCTGCAAACATGGCAATGGCCACGGCACAGCCAGCCTTCCCAGGGGACCCAGTGTGGCCGGGTGTCGTGGGCTGTGTACCCCCAAATGTCTCTGCATTAGGAAACAGAGTCTTTAAAGAGGTCATTAAGTAAAAATGAGGGCATTAGGGTGGGGGTTAATCAATATGACTGTTGTCCTTAAAAGAAGAGGAGATAGGACACACAC